TGAGATTCACGAGTCCGGAGCGGAATTAAAAACACGACATTCATTTAAGGTTATTGTGTGTTTTGTGAGCAAATGCTTTTGCATATTCGTAGTGTTTCCTTCCTTAAATGAAATATCTAAGGGAGGTATTGCAAGTTGCCCTGTTGTCATCCGTTCTCGTAAAGTTCTAACCAAACTTTTGAGCGTTTAAGCCGCTTAGGCGCCGTGTTTCCTGCCAGGTAAATGACGCTCCGCAAGGTTCTCAACAAGAACCGGTTCTCAACAAGAACCGGTTTTCGATACCCATCCCTAATCATGGGTGCAGCATATTTCTGGGTAAATCTATTGTGTAATCCAGGCTACTTCAATAGTTTCAGTTTCAGCCAAACCTCAGTTTTAGAGAGAGGATTATTAAAAAGAAAAAGAGGTCCAACAAGCAAAAGTGCAAGATATCAAAGTCAGTTGCTTTGCCAAAACCAAGAAAATGTAGTAAGTGTAAGTGTTAAACATAGACAGCACTAAAAACATTGAACAGTAAAAAAAAAAGTTTTTATGGAGATCACTTTTCAGATTGAAGGCATACATGACCGCTTATTCCAAATCTGGAAAACATCTACATTTTGTAAAAACATGTGGAAATAAGCCATTAGATCTATGGAACAAAGTTTTATCAAGCTATGAAACAAAAGTCATTCTATATAGAAATGTCTCAAGTTCACCACCTAATCCGTTAAAACACAGCAGTGCCTCTACTTTTGCCTGAACCTGTATACTGCGAATTTGACACGCTGCTCTTTAATGACCATCTCATATCTGTCTGAAGCAGCAGGCTAAATTCAGAGGTATGTAAAAGCATTCTGTGCGCTCAAATTTAGCCAAATGCATCAAAACTCATTGGATGGTTATTCAATGTAGCATCTACTCAGAAAATCACAAAACTAGGACAGAAAGAGAGTAATTATCCAATATGTACTGCCTAGACTGTAACATCACCTGCTATGTCCTTGAGTTTCTTGACAGCTGGTTCTTCCAGCTGTTTGATCTGCTCCTTCACCATGACCTCAAAGGTCTTGTAGTTGATAAAGCCTGGTAGTTCTCTTCCACGGTACTTGTCTTCATATACCTCCACCTCTTTTTCAATTTTCCTGTTAACTGCAACACGAATGGTATACATCAGAGATGTGAAAATGGACTGCTATACACCAGCTCAGTAAAAATAAAAAGACTCACAGTTTTGTCCTGAGCGGTCCAGGTGGGCATTCCACTTCCCAAACTCTCGCCTGAGAGTAGAAAAAACATTCAAGTTCTCTCCACAGTTGAGCTCCTCTCCTGAAGTCAGGTTGATGGCATCCTGAGTGAATGCGGTCACTTCCTGCAGCACACACGTGTTAGAGGTATTTGATGTTTGTTAAGCAGAAATGCAAGGAAATGAACGTAGTCACATAAATGTTATGGGTGGTAAGGAAGCTCACATCGATGAGGAAGATGAGTCTCTCAGCCATATCAGAAGGAGGTCCGTTACCATATCTGTCCAGCTCTGCCTGAGTCTGAGCAAGTTTATCCTCTATCTGCTCTTCCAGTCTTGGCAGAGATCTCTGTAAATCAAACGGCAGGGCCACACACCTTACAGCTAATCACTTGGTTGTACAGGACGTTTGTTATAAGAACGCAAAATCAGAAAAAAAATCACCTCAATGTGATTCACCAGCTCAAGGGTGAGTTTTTCAGCTAGTTTAGGAACAGTGGCGTGGCCTTCACTGTAAAGAGTGCTGGAGCAAGAATAAAACAGGTTCTCAGTACTTTACTAGATGATTCGCACCCAAACAAACCTACAACAAAAAACAAAAAAAGAACAAAACAAAACAAAAAAACTTACTGGAAATAGGGATGATCTTTGAAGAACATCTCCTCTTTTTCTAGGGCTTCAGTCAGAGACACTTTCTCTGTGATCTCCTTCTGACCCCTGCACCTGACAATCATGTAGCCCTTATTCAGGTGGATGACTTCATTATGGACAATTTCAAGCACGTTCTCTTCTGTGCCTTTGTCCACCAGGTCAGGCTTAGTCAAGATACCTGAGTGAGAGAGGGAGATAAAGAGAGAGAGAAGACAACTTTAAAGTGAACTTAGACCTGTCACATCTAAAAGACTGAGTTGCAGTTTGCAAATGTGTTCAAAAAAGAAGCCAGTATGATTGTGGAATGAAGCTTTATAGCTTTATGAAACATTATAACTGGGGTCCTTTTACCCAAAGTCCTCTCTCCTTCAGGATCCACCTGCTGCGCCATTTTCAAAGCCTCTGTGGTTGCAATGTCCACATTACACGGAACAACCACCAAGCTGATGGTTTCTTGTTTTGTGATAAACTTCTGGATCAGTCTTTTTATCTGAAAGTATAAATTCACACCATGCATGTAGTTCTTTCTACGGTACTTCCTATTCTTAAAGTGAAAACACCCATCTAAACCTAAAATCACACAAACTTTTAGAATTCAAGCAGTCGTTGACTGCAAAAGATTTTCACCTTTGCATTAAAAATAATCCTTATATTTAAAATGACGTTAGTTTGTCCAGTTATTTTTGAACTGTTGAAAATGAGGGATTGTAATTATTAAACAATACTTTTGTTTACTCCTCGAATTAAAACTGAATGAAGTCTGCACTTGAATGCTTGACTTACTATGCATTGTAGTTAGTGTGCAGAGACAAAACTACAAAAATGTCACCGTCCAGAGACTTATGGAGCAAACCACATCTGCCTTATTTACCTGTTATTTGCCCAAGGTGCTTTGAAAACCAAAGAAGTCCCTATGAAGTTTTTCAGGGGGACCCTCAACTATGATACCTGATCGCCGATGTCCTCTGGCTGTCCTTTTACAGCCACCCTGGCAATGCCGGGCAGGTCGATGAGGGTCAGGTCCGGGACCTCAGGGGAAGCGATCGCCAGACTGATGAGCTCATCACTGATCCCCACTCCGACCCCAGCCATTTCATTTTGAGCTGAAGGTACAAACAGACAAACATAACATGATACAACTAATGATTGCAGGACTGATCAGTGAAACCTTAAAGATCCGGTAGCTCAGTCAACCAGATTTAGTAATTATGTGTTTGTATATTGTACCTTCTTCAATCTTTTTATCCACAGTTGTAGGATCTTCTATTTCCTCCTCGTGGCCCTGGTAACTTATCCTTCCAGTCCATTCTTCTCCTTCTTTCTTTCTCTTCATCTTGAGTTCAAGAGGGCATCTTGTTACAATGCCTAGATTAATGAAATGTGAATAAGAAAAGAGGGGAAAAATTAAAGATAATCTGATGAAATTATGAAAAACAGTAGTCTGTGTCAGACAGCACAAGAGTTATTTGATACTCTGTCAACAGCACATCTTAATATTCGGTAACAGTATGAATAGGGAAGAGAAGCAATTATAAATGTTTCCAAATGTAAATGAGGCCATTGCTGTAGTGTGGCTCTTTATTTCCACCTCTAACACATTGCATGATGGTATTGCAAAACCTAGTTTGTTTCAACCATATTGGAACCTTGAGTGAAGCCACAACAGAGTGAACGTTTTAAAAGCCAGGATTATTCATTTCCCTGATTATTCCCAGTCTACACTGGAGTATGATGTATCAGCTCGGTGTGTCTTTTGACATGGTTTAAAAAAAAAATCTGTGAATGCTGCTTCAGAATCCCTTATTATTCTTTATTTCTTCACTTGAACCTTTATAATTATTCCTTATTTGCTTCTTTCTTACTCACCGCTGCCTCTCGGCAGTGCCACCCCGGACAGCGCCTCCAACACAGAGCTCTTCCCCGAGCTTTGGTCTCCAATCACGGCGATAGCAGGCAGCGCCAGGTCCTTCTCTACACCGAGAGAGCGGAGAGAGTCAATGAGGTCGATGCAGGGTCGGACTTTCTCCTCATACTGCTGGTTCAGAGTGCTCATGATGGTGATTGCTTTTCTCTTCGAAAGAACAAATGAATGCAGCTAAAATTAAAGTGACAAAGTTGCTGTGGCTTGTGAGCTGATGTGTCGGAAGAAGACGGACTGAACCGGAGAAGTTTTGAAATCGTCAGTCTGGCTGTAAGTTTCGTTTTCCCTCAGTTTCGTGTACGTTACAGGTGCCTGTGTAAAAATGATGAGAGAGAGACTGGCCCATCCCGTCGTTTCAGTGACGGAGCACGCATTTAATAAGGCGTGTCAAACTGAGTGATGATGAACGTTAGCCAACAGTTTACGCTGCAGAAAACAAAAAGGCAGAAGACTTTCAGGAGACCTAGCGGTCACATGCCGGGTGACCTTCAGGTCTGAAATCCTGGAACCATGAACATAAACATGCGTTAGGAAATGTTGGTCTCTTGTTTTTATGTATGGCAACTGCATTGAAGGACAAGATTCAGTTTTCATGGTATTGAAAGTAACAAAGACTGCAGACTGATTACAGCTGTAAAC